TGTTATGAGAATGGAATTGGAACTACAAAAGACGAAGAGAAAGCATTTCATTGGTATCTAAAATCTGCTGAAGGCGGTTATCATCAAGGACAATGTAATCTCGGATATTGTTATGTGAATGGAATTGAAACTACAAAAGACGAAGAGAAAGCATTTTATTGGCATCTAAAATCTGCTGAAGGCGGTAATCATGAAGGACAATGTAGCCTTGGATATTGTTATAATAATGGAATTGGAACTACCAAAGACGAAGAGAAAGCATTTTATTGGTATCTAAAATCAGCTGAAGGTGGAAATACTGCTGGACAATGTGGTCTTGGATTTTGTTATGAGAATGGAATTGGAACTACGAAAGATAATGATAAAGCATTTTATTGGTATCTAAAATCAGCCGAAGGTGGAAGTATAATGGGACAAAATAATCTAGGAGAATGCTATGAACGCGGAATTGGGACGATAAAAGACGAAAAAAAGGCATTTCAATACTACTTGAAATCTGCAGAAAGTGGAAATAATTTTGGTTTATATAATCTTGGAAATTGTTATGAACATGGAATTGGAATATCAAAAAATTATGAGAAAGCATTCCAATGGTATTTAAAATCTATCGAAAATGGAAATAGATGGGTCCCGTATTCACAAATTCAAAACGTTAATTACTTGACACGCGGAGGTTTTGGGGAAATACTTAAAGCTGAATTTATTCAAGAATCCGGAATGAACCTCAAAGTAGCCCTTAAAAGTTTATTCAGTTCCGGGAATATCACCATGGATTTTTTAAAAGAAGTATGTTTGATTGACATTTATTTTTGCTATTATATTGCAGTCTTTATTTTAATTGGCGTTTTTAAGACATATCGTTATTTTCTTCTACATATAATAGTTATTAACTAATGAAATGCTAGCTCGGGATGTAAGTAAATATGTTATTAAATGCCTAGGTATTACAAAAGATCCAGCCACGAATGTTTATATGATGGTGTTGGAATATGCAGAAGATGGAAGTATGCATCAATACTTATCAAAATATTTCGAAGAAATAACGTGGAAAGAAAAGGTTGAAAAGTTGAGTTATATTGCAGAAGGGTAGATATCTGTGTAAATTCAATTATTGTTTAATTAATTATCATTAACGTTTATTTACACTTTAGGTTTGAAGAAATTCATAAAAGGGGATTGATTCATTGTGATATTCATTCAGGAAATATTCTATTGGGAGTAAACAGTGTTTCTGGTTCTATTAAAATAGCCGACCTGGGTTTATGCAAAAATAGGGAAACTTCTGATAATGAAAAAGTATTTGGTGTGATACCTTATTTAGCACCCGAAGTATTTAAAGAATATCGATTTACTCAAGCATCCGATGTGTATAGCTTTGGAATGCTAATGTGGGAATTTACGTCAGGTCATCGACCATTTAAAGATAGAGAACATGATTGTTTTCTTATAGGAGATATTATCAATGGATTACAACCCGATATTACAGAAGATACACCAACGATTTTTGAAGATTTAATGAAAAAATGTTGGAGTAGTGATCCAAATATTCGGCCGAGTATGAGGGAAATTAAACAACAACTTAATAAATGGCTTCGAGATAAAGAGGACGAAGAGAGCTTTGTTTCTGCTGAGAAATATCGAAAAAATTTAATAGAAGCGAGAAAAATCAAAGAAAACATTGACGTTGGAAACTTCGAAGCGTATTATACAAGTAGATTTTTAAATCCAATTATTACTTCACACGGTAAGTATTTATATAAGTGTAATTAAAAATAAGTTTAATAATAAGGGTAACATGTAAATACTGTATTTTTATTCGTTGAAGAATATAGGTCCTTGGAAGGTATCATAAAACTTAAAATACAGTATTATAAATAATATATAAGGGATGTAACTAATAATTGAAGTTTATTATATCTAGATATTGAATATAAATCCGTACAAGAAGACCTGGTTGCCTAATTTTTTATGACGCGTATTATTACATATCGCAAATATGAGAATAATATTAATTAACGATATTTTTAGTATTTTTAATAATATTCGAGACCCATTTATATGTATACTATTCGAGACAATTTTGTTAAACATTTAACTAAATAAATCAGCCAAAGCATTATGCGAATAATTTTATCTACTAAGAAATGAAACCATCGTAAGTCTGAAGCTAATTATGTATGAGAATCAGAGGATTGGGCAGAAATTAATCAGATTATATGGCAGGAAAGGTGTTAATATTCTGTATATACAGTACTACCCAGACAAATTTAGATATTTCCAACAGCAAGAGCACTAACCGAGTCATTATTCAGGAATACCATCCTGACCGATTTAAATTTATAGAGCGATAATTTAGAATAATTGGAGGAAAAGCACTAGCCGAGTCACTATGCAAGAATATCACCCTGACCAATTTATATATCGGTTATAATAATTTAGAATTGTGAGAAAAAGCACTAAATGAAGCACTGTGCAAAAATACCATACTGACCAATTTAAATTTGTAGAATAGATTCAGGAGGAAAAGCACTACCGATAAACTGTACAAGAATACCACCCTGACTAATTTAGATATCGCTTTAATAATTTAGGAGAAAGTAAAAGCACTAACCGAGGCACTATGCAAGAATACCATCCTGACCAATTTGAATATTCATTATAAATATTTAAGAGAATTGGAAAATGCAAGAATATCACTCTGATTATTAATTATTAAATAATTTATTGGTGGTATATTTTTTTAGGAGAAAAGTGAATACCTTTTAATATAAAATTTATAATTAAAAATATTATAAATGGGAAATACTCAAAAAAAGCATCTCCTTTTCATTATACTCATTACGCATATCTAATATTATTGATATAGTAGTGTCGTGGATCAGGGTTGGCGACACGGTTAGAACTCAATCCTTGACCTCGCGATGCTTTCGGTCAGGGGTTCAAGTAAGTTTACTGAAGGGTAAGGCGGAAAAAAGGCGTGTATTTTGTGAGTTTGTGTGATTTAAAAGGATTTTATCAACATCTGGTAATTTTATCCATGACACTTATTCTCTTTTAAATTGTATTATTATATATACTGGTTTACAAAAAAAGATTATCTACCAAAAAATTTTGGATTGATTTTTTTGCTTTTTAAGCATTATAGATTTCTGTTAAAAACTTTGTACTTGGACTTAGCTAATTACTGGATTCAATGACTTTATGAAGGTCAAAAAAAGAATAAATAATAATTTGAATTGTTTAATTAATATATATTAATTGTTTTTATATAATCTAATTTATTTTTTAATTTAGTAAAATGGATATACAGTATATAAGTTAATTATTATAATTTATTAAAATCAACAATTTCTATATATGAAATATTATATCTGATATAATACTAATTTTGAATTAGATATTAAGAATATATTATTTAATATATATATATATATAATATAAGAAGATTTTGTAATATATTATTATACTGTATATAACAATGTATTATTTTTTTAAAATATGTTGTATTAAAGATTTTATAAACTTTATATCTGGAAAGACTAAATATTACTGAAGGCATTGATATTTCAGAACTAGACAAATGTTCAATATATAAACTAAAAAACTTTTTATGTAAAAAATAAAAATTCTTATTATTTCTATATACTTGTCTATAATTATATATATAATTACAATTGTATTAAAATTCTATAAAAAATATTCAATGTGTTCAAGACTTAATTGTAAAAAGAAGATAGAAATTATAAATGAAAAAACACTCAGAAATTTAAATATCACAGATCCAATAAATATATCTCTTGCATTATTTAATAATTATTTAATAATCAATAATATATTCTCCAAAATGTATGTTGATAAATCTGTAATAAACAATTCAATAAGAAAGTGAATAAGCAAGTTTTAAAAGAATATTCTTCTATATTATAAATATTAATTCAAGAATTAAAACTGATATTTTCGATAAAACTCAGTTAACTAGATTGATATCCAAAAAACATGAGGCTTTGAGTTTTTGACTCATCAAATAAAAAATATATCAATCTTCTAATTTTGTATTAAAATATAATCAATGCTAAAGATACTAGAAAAAAATGATACAGGGAATTATTTGTCAATGTTTTATTTTGGGATAGTATCCAAGAATCAGTTTGATTATTATAAAAAAAAAAACAATCAAAATGTAAGAATCAAGCGTTAATTAATAATAGATTAGAGTTCAATTTTCATTAGTTAGCCGAGCTTAAAAAAACAAAAGAACAAGGTCAAAAAATTTATAATTTATTTAATGAGATTGGAGTTAATAAGATCGAAACTTACAGCAATAACTTTATCTATTATTTCCCAGATTATATTGATTACGTTTTGACCAAACTTTTACTTTCTTAAAATTATATCTGAAAATTTTTATTCATATTATTTTTCGGCATAATGAGGTAAAACTCACTAAATACAGGTTGTGCAACAGACATACACTGCATAACCGATTCCGATGGTGAATTTCACTAAGAACAAAACGTTTAAGATGTAATATTAAATCAGGCTAGTTTCATTTAAGATAATTTGGTTCCGATATACAATAATTAAATCCTACTGTATAAGTAATTTTCTTTTATAATATTGATACACGATGAATATGCGGTTGAGACGTGTTAGAATCTTAGTGATGTGGAATAGGAAAATAAAATATTGAATAACATAATATTAGATGTGGAAAAAATGACATTGATCGTGATACAGTAGTAAAATAAAACTAAGGGATTTGTCAACAATAATCAAGGACAAGCAACTCTTTCCTCGTGATTCGTGTATGACAGAATGTTTAAGAAAAAATAACTTGCGTATTGTATGATAATCCGCACCGAACTGGGGGCTGTATACAGTATATAGCAACTCTCTGGAACAAAAAACCCAGATTCCGCTTACCTCTACATTATTACGCGTAGCTCAACCAAGAGGTGTGATTTAAGGGTGGATAGTGTTACATATTTGTCGAAAACAGCATGTCTATTGAAACGGATGAACTAAAAAAGTACCGCCAGTTTTGGTGGAAAACTGGTAATATACATCCGAAGGCCAAGCGGGAAAAAGCCATGTAAGTCTCCTATTTGCTTTAATGACTGGAGATTTTATGAGCTAGTGATGATATTAGTTATTTATTATCAAGTTTACCATACGAGCTTGTTACTAATGTGACATTAGACGAGTATATTCTTCGAACAGATAAACATAATGTAAAGGCTCTTTGGGAATGGGAAAATGGAAACGTTTATGTTATCGAACTTTCTTCAGATTTTCACGGAAAGAGTATCGCTACAGCTTTAACGGAATTCGCTATTGCATTTCAAGCCGTGTTGTACACTCCCTCTGGTGTGACTTTTTCTGATGCGGCAAGTGAGTTTTTATTAGTTTCTTTACACCACTGTATTTTAAGTATGTTTCTATTACTCATTATCCTTGACTAAAGCATCGAGAACAGGAGGATATGGAAAAGAGTCAGATGTGTCTCTTATACCTTCAGGGAAACCTCGAGTTCCTAGAGGTGGATATGATGGAAAGTAAGAAGTTTTCAACCTCATTTAATTACTGATATGAATGTGTTGAATTTCTAATGTTTGTGACGACATACTGTATACTCTTAGAATAAACCCTGGCCAAATGTTGTTATAGAAGTTGCTCATTCTGAAACTGAGGAACATCTTAAGGATAAAATAGAAAATCACTGACTCCTTTCTAATAGAGTTCACGATGCAATCGCCATCAAGATAAATCATACACCAGATGATTTGGTTCCAACGGAGATGACAGTAAGTATAATAACAGCAGGCATTAATTTTTGTCCAGTTGCCCTGTTTCATTTTAATAATTTTATTCTTTAATAGGCTTGGCATTATTGCGTAAATAATCGAACATCTGCTGGTGCATTTTCCCCTGTAATAGTATGTTATATTATTACATACTTATTATTTTAGCATAGAAATGAACGTATTCTCTATTTAGTATGAATTTGGAACGATCAATCGTCAAAATAACCCGATCAATATTGTGCCGGGGCAATGCGTTATCAACACTTCATTGGAATCCATTTATCATGGAATGCCAGATAACTTTGTGATTCCCTCACCACCCCTTTCCAATCCTATTGCCTTCGATCTCTTTGTTATTCGGTGGACTCTTAAATACTCCTTGAGATGTTTTATATTTGGGTTTCATAATACATATCTCTTTTCGCTTTGCATTGGACGAAAACGTTTGTCATTAAACACAAGAATATACGAAAACGAAACTCAAATGTAATAAGGTTATATAGCCCATCTAATTCAATCAATATTATTATCAAAAATTGATACCTATGGAGTTTCTAAATTTCCGCAATCTCGTGTGCTTAACCTGCATAATCAATATACTATAAAATGCCACTGATCCGCTCAAAAAAAGAAATTTTTTTTATTATCTAGCCTCATATACGTAGTGCATCAACCAGATTTTTTACGCCATACATCAATATAAAAAAATTTCTTCAACGGGCAGATAATAAAGGTTATGATACCGAGTAACATACCAATTATTTGAAGAGAAGTAATTTAAATTAGATAATGATGACTTTGCGATTACGAAGTTTCGCGTCATATAAAGCGTTGGAAGAGCTGAAGGACGTGCCCCGTAAAAAATAAGTTATCGGTGAGGATATTACGTGCATCAAACAATTCAATCAGGGTATGTGATACTTTATTTTTTGTGACAAGCCGTTCGAAGCCTCTAGGTATACAATGATTTGCTTTTTCCTATTATATAATATCGACAACAAAGCACTCGAACAATGCTTTAATGAAATATTACTACGGTTAACGAATGTAAAATTGAGGCGACACGTTGTGAATTAATTACACGCATCAATTGCAATCACGAAAAGTTTAACCAACAAGAAATTAATATCGAATTGCAGAGGGATGTTTCAGCGAAGTGGCACCGGTTGGGTGAATTACGCAATAACGGGAATGGAAGATCTCTAGTATATTATTGAGTAAAACCCACAAAACATCAAAATAGGACATATACAAAACATAAAACAACTTGAGAGCTCGTTCCATACAAATAAAAAGAAGCGGACGGCTGATGAGGCATTCAAGAGCGAGAATTGCTATTATATAAGTAATAAATATTATTATTTATATATACTTAATTTATCAGGTATGTAAAAATTTTTCTATTATGACGTTGCGTACGCACATATACTGAATTTTTTGCCGGAGGTAATATAGCTATGATAATAATTGGAAGGTACAAGCAATAGTGAATATCAAATAAATATTACTTAAGGGAAGTCAGGAGAATCTAAGGGATGATAAAACAGGTAATGTATGGTTGTAGAATTATTGAAAGATAGAGTGACCGCATGTGATGAACCCGAAAGCAAGACGCGTTGCGTACAAGAAAAATTATCAAAAAATAATGGATAAATGGGTTTTCCACTTCACATGTATTTACATTGTATTAATAAAGCATTCTGACTCAAATGATCATTCTTTATTTGTTTTGCAAAGCGACCACGTCTCTTACGATAGTTGTGGGGTGTTTTCATTTGAGATACTTATCAGCTGAAATTCATTTTGAGATAGATTGATTATTTGTGTGTATTTCTTCGGGAACTTGATGTTAATATTCTTTATAGCGAGATCGAAATAAAGTAGATTCTGAATCGGCAGTGATTCTAAAAATTATTTATGATCATGGATAAGATTTTTTTTATATTTTCTTGACATCTTTCGATGAACATTCTTCGCTGAAATTTCGTCGCGTAAAATCCATAAACGAACGAATGAATTGGATATACTCATATCTTAATTGAAAATAGTGGCAGATACACAACCCAAAATCGAATCGTCAAGAGAATTGAGTACCAAACTGTGCTTCAGATTTATGAACTTAGAAAGTGGTAGAAGATGAAAATATAATTTAAAGCAATCTTAGAATAAATATAGAATCACCTGATGAAGATGAAATTGTACTTGCGATGAGGGCGCTGACAATAATGACGATAATGAAAGAATGTCTCTGATAATGAGGAAGTAGAAGGATATAGATTTAATACAAACGTATTATTTTCTGATGATGAGCGTTATTATTACGTTTAAGTCCGGGGAGAAAAATCGAATCATTTAATTAGCATATATTAATGAAGTTCTTCGTGTAAAATGCGGCCTAATTTATTATTATTATTTTTTGGCTCAGATAAGATGTATGAGGTTTTTTGAGCAATGTTCCTATCACTTTTAAAGTCAAACCTGATCCAGAATTAATTATCAAATCCATCTTCGAGAATTTAACTCCGAAATAGTTTTAGGGATTGATAATTATAATTTTGCATTTGCTTAACCTTGGGACTAGTCGTACCCTATTTACGATGGAAATTATGATTACGTGACAAATGGAAACAGAATATTATCTCGATCACTCGCTATGGAATCTTGTTAGTAAAGTCATCTAAATATTTATTATATTAGGCGTCTATGAAAGTTTCGGATACATTACACTTACTGTACATTTACCGTTTTGACCTTCGCCAAGAAAATCTGACAATAATCACGCGTACGCTATCTATTATTGCAATAATAAAGTTTAGCTTATGTAAAAGATTAATGTTTAAAATAAAAACTCAAAGCTAAAATAATAAAGAAGAGAGTTCCCATTGTGTGGACGGTAATATACCGCGTCAAGAGTGAAAAGCAAGAACGGGGGTTTAGGACGGTGATATTCACTCTTTACCACGCGTTTGCGAAGTTACTTATCGCTGTATGGACGGTAATATACCGCGTCAAGAGTGAAGAGCAAGAATGGGAGTTTGGACCGGTGATAATCATTCTTTTACTATACATATCAAGATGAAAAGCTCCGTGTTGAGTCCAAGTGCTAACAAGTATAACATGACGTTTACGGCGCAGCCTCTGATTTTGGGATTAACTCTGTTACACAATATAAATTGTACCGTATTATAAAATAGCATATTGAACCCCTGTAAATCGTTATGAATGCCAATAAGTAGTGTTTGGAACCGATCAACTGACTAAATTATCGACTAAGCCGTCAATTCAGTCAACTCAGTCGATAAATTTCTTTATAAGGAAATTAAATCGTATGCATAATAACGGTATAATATCAACCAATAAAATAAAAGACTTATTTAAATAAATAAAAAATTTAATATTTCTATATTAAAGTATCGAAATTCCAATAAAAATTAACAGTAAAAACAAGAAATTAAAATGTAAATATATATAT